GAGAGAGAGAGAGAGAGAGAGAGAGAGAGATAAGTTAAGTGGAGCCTATCATTATAATCTGTTCTTAGTTACAAAATAATTATTGTGTGAAATGTTTAAAACATTTTTATTTGGTGCCTGTAGGCTTATAATTCTTTTCACAATTACTAAACTTATACCATCCTGCTGTTAATTACCGATATCATGTGTTGCGTTAAAAAAATTAACAGAGCACCCACAAGCACCTACTGCATGCCTTAAGTCAATGTAAAATTTGATGAAATTTGCTTTTAATGTCTGTTGTGTCTTTATAAATATGCAGTGAAGAACTACTAGACCAGTTCCATAAAACCTGAATGCCTTTCCCCAGTGTTGCGTAAAACGCTGTGTGCATGTCCAAATCTGGTTCGCAACGAGAAGATTATCAGGGTTGCCATCAGTGCTAGATGTAATGTTATAATTAAGATGGTTTAATTTAAGCACATTGCAGAGATTACAGATAAATTAACTGACAAGCGAATTTATTTCAATGCTCAATTAAATGTGTTTAGGTAAGCGCCATCACATGCACATCCTATACTAAAATTATAAAAATAATAACTGAAGTATTCAGCTTTAGGTTCTTTAAGCTAGCTGTACTGATTATAAAATTATGAATCTTTACCAGCTTAATATTTAAGTTGAGTCTATCATTAAAATAAAATACTAGTAACAAAATAAGTATTGTCTGAAATGCGTTAAAATGTTTTCATTTGGTACCCGCATTCTTTTCACAATAGTACAATGCTAAACTCACATCCTGCTGTTATACCGATATCATGAGCTGCGTTAATAATTTTAACAGAGCAACCACAAGCACCTATAGTGATATCGTCTTAAATTAAGTCGATGAAAGTTTTAAAAAGTTGCTCTTATAGGTTCGTTGCGTTTCGTTAATTTAAATTAGAGAATTGTTATTCCAGTTCTATGAAACCAGAACGCCTTTTCCCAGGGCTCAGTTAGACGCATATGGGTGTCCAAATCTGGTTCATCGTGCAATGATTCTCGGGCCGTTACTGTCAGTAATGATTGTCTTCCAAGCGGCTAGGTTGCTTTAATAGCTACAATATATACGTACGTTGTTTAAAATGGTTCCCGCACATTACAGAAGTGACAAAAAAAGCCAACAAGAGAATTTATTTTATTACTCAATTAAAACCAAAAGTTACCACCAAAGGCAATCGTTAACTCTTTCTGCACATGTGTTATAGGGGCTGTTTATCCGGGCGAGCCAGCCGGAGTGCTCGAGCTGGCCCGTTTCGAATCAGATCCCGCGTTTGTTATTGTTTCCTACTAAATTTGACAGTAACCGAGTTGACCCGCCTATATATATAAGCAAGATCCCACATCACGGAGTCGGGGAGATCTTGGCTTCGTTTGATTTTTATAAACTCTATTAAGATATATAATATTTGCATTGATTTTTTAGTACTTACATGTATAAAATTTGACATGTATAGCTAATTCATTTGTATATAGCCGTTGTATAGTGTTTCTAGAATAAACTATCAATCAATCAATCAATCAATCTGTTGATTTCATTGTGTTTTTAATGGCTGTGCTACGTTGTGCGGCTGTGGCGAAGGAAACATATACCGTACTTGTTGCATAAAAAACAATTGCTAACGATCGTAACAGAATAAGATAAGCTTATATAAATAAAAAGGGCTATAATTATAGTCTTATTCATCTTTTTGTAGTTATTTTCTAAAACGTTCGAATAAGTTTGTTCATGCATGCACGAGTGAACACTATATATACTGTACTGTACTGTACTGTAGGTGTCTGCATTTAAATTTACAACACAAAACGTACGATCCCGCTGTTATATAACAGTTGATTTAGTAAGTTGATATCATGTAGTGCGTTTTAAGTTATGATAGAGCGACCACAAGCACAAATATTATCTTAAGTCAATGGAAAGTTAGATAAACTTTGACAACAAGGAAATCCATTCATTCCACTTTACTTCATCTTCGACTGAGACGGACCGTGAAAATGGTTAAATCATTTCTTGTCGTGATCGTTGCGTTTTGTTTCAGTGTTTTTAAAGTGGCTGCGATACCGGATCCAAAAGACGCAGCGCATCGTATTTATGTAGCCGTAGACGCGAAAATAATGGCAGCTGAAAAAATGAGACAGTTTGGATTCTTGTACCTTCAACGTAGCAGTGATGCAGACGTATACTACACAAATGATAATGTGAGAGCAATACTAGGTGCTAACGCACCAGCAATTGCCGAATTACCATCTTTATATGATCAAGGTCCTTGGCCAAACCTTTCTCCAGTCGAGGGGCCAGTTCATTCAAATATGAGAGTTGCAGGTCCAAATGCGAAGGAAAAGGAGGATCCCAAGACTAACGTAGGGCATGCAGAACAGAAGATGCTAATGGAGTTTGACAAAATGGTTGAAGGTGTATTTGGCAGTGATGGCGATAAATTGAAGGAATGTCCGGCATTTATAATTCTCGGCACCAAATTGTTTCCGTGCTACAAAGCCGAAAATGTCGGTTGTGGGCAATATTTCATTGAGAGAACAAAAAAAGTATTTAATCAATGCACCTCGGAGGCCACGAGAGACTCTTTTCTGTATCTATACAGTCGTGACAACTCTGACAATGATTGGCACAAACAAAGGGACAATTTTAAACAAAATGGAATCAAAATTATATTTGGACCTCAATGAATGAACTAATATGAATCCATTTTGAACAAAAGTGAACTTTAATTACACACTTTCATATAAATTTTATTGTTAATTTCATAAAAATAATTATTGAAGGTCTTTAATATATCGCACATTCAAAAATCATCACCATTAATAAATACATATAAAAGTTTGAAGTTTGCTTTACAGAATATTTTATTGCTATTTTTGCTCAACAAATGTTTTAGAAAAAGATAATACATGTATGATTGAAATACATCTATCATTAAAGGTCGTATTTAACATATTAACTAGATCCTAATCAATAATAAAAAAATAAAAATGGAAGGTATTAAGCGTGTGGGTGGTTAATAGAGCTATAAACGTCAAGATAGCGACCAGGCTCTCCATTGTTGTTCAGATTCAGTTAATTAAGAAGCAGGCGGCAAACGGTGCACCTATACCCACTCAAAAATTGAGGTAATCTTCCTGCCCTCCCTCGGAATCAATCTCCCTTTCTATCCTTTTAATTTTATCCGTCTGCGCGGAAACATCGTCCAGATAATGGGGCGAGTACCATGACGCGAGGGATTTATAGTGTTGTAGTTTTTACTTCGATTTAATGAATACGTTGCACAAACAGCGAGACACCGGCAGTTGCGGATCGGGGAGGTAACTGTAGTTTCCAGTCGATGTATGATTCATTTAAAAATGATAATTCATTAGTTCAACCAAGCGAAGTGCAAGAAAATCTTTCATGTTCACCTTATCACAACCCGCACACCCGAAAATATATATATACATGAACGTGCGGTTATACTGCTCGACAACTGGCCTCTGTAGCTCAGTTGGTTTGAGCCCCGCATCGGAATCGCAGGGTGGGTTCGATTTCTAACATAGTGTTGCATTTTTCGCAACCGTTCCTGGTTATGTCCTAAATTTATATATATATATATATATATATATATATATATATATATATATATATATATATATATATATATATATATATATAGTATATATATATATATAGTGTATAATATATATATAGTGTATAATATATATATATATATATATATATATATATATATATATATATATATATATATATATATATATATATATATATGCGGGAAAATTAAGATAATTTCTCTGATAAAAGAGAGACTTAGCGGCGTTAAATAGTTTCCGTTGATCTGGAACTATGTTCCGGCCAGGACAAAATCTGTATAAATTTTTTTCCGAGAACGGTTCATTACAAATATCGTGTAGTTTTTCTTAGATTTGTAGATTTGAAAATCATGAGGCTCTTTATTTCTTCTCCATTTTCGTTCAGCTCTTCTTTCCTCTCTTTTTGCAGATTTTACTTCAGTGTTAAACCAAGGTAAATAGGGCCGAGTAACGATCGTTTTAGTTCTTAATGGAGCATGCCTATTTATGGCTGATTCAAGTGTTTTATTATAACATATAGCAAGTTCATTTACATCAAACATATCAGTGTTTTTACAGAGATCAGAGTTAGAAAGATCAGCTCGCACAGCGTCCAGATTCATCGCCGAAAGATTCCGATACGAAACGTTTGATTTAGTAAAAAGTACCTTACCCATATCAAGTTCGCAGAAGACAGGCATATGATCTGAGAACAAGCAGACAGCTCTAGGCACAGAAGAAACAAGATTGTCAGTTTTCCGAGTT